TTCATTACAAATATGGCGCTATTGTTCGCCGTTTTTTTTTGTTTTTTTTTTGCTGTATTTAATTACAGACAAGCAAACAATCTCAGAGTTTTAGTGGTCTATAGATAGATAGATACATTTTCAAGCGACAATGAAATAATCGGTTGATTATGATGTTTGAAATTATGCACAAAGCTACACAATGGACTAACTGTGCTCTGCCCACCACGGGTATCGAAACCCGGTTTCTAGCGTTTTAAGTCCACAGACACACCGCCGTGCCACTGGGGGCAAAGTAATCGGAGAGGCGCTAGATATAACGAGTGGGTTATTCAGGCTATATGAAACTAAATTGTTTCTCTGTGAATGACTCAACAACAAAAGCCATTTTATTTCATTTTTAATAATCGCGACATTTTTCCCCAAAAAATTTGGCACTCATTTAGTTTATTTCTTCTAAATGTAATTTTTTTAATTTTATGTCTATACTGTAAAAATAAATTTCACTTTTTAGTATTCTTGAGAAAAAAACATTTTTGAATAATTAATATGACGTAACGTCAAACAATTACAGCATCTTCCGCATGTTGCATATTAGTTATTTGGACAAACTTTACGATTAATCTGTCGGAACTTGAACAAATCAGTGTTATTGAACATAATGCTTATTTTACTAGAAGTTTAAAAAATTATTTCCATTGGTAAGATTGTTTGTCAATTGCTAAGAAGATTAATGGTATCGTACATTATATTTACAAAATATATTTCGTTTTTAAATGTATGTGTTGAACCTTTTAAGGCCTCTCATTACATAGTTTTGTGAAAATGAAAAAAACAACAACTTTATTCTGCCTTTCTTACACATCCGTGGTTTTAAATCGGCACCCTAATCGTTTTCCTATGCCCACATAGTGAATAGAAACTTTCATTAACCTTTTCACGCGCTTTAACAGTTTTCCCCCTCTAATACAATCATTTGCTCACTTTACTATAATATATCAAAGGCACTGTGCAAGAACCTACAACAGCTGTTCTCTATATTTGTCCCTACACGACAAAATAAAAGCTCTACAGTTTTTCTAAAATACAAGTGATATACTGGAACTTTTCTCGAAACCATCACTTATGTTTTTTTTTTGAGTAACAAACGTAATTCTAAACGGATTACTGTACCTAAATACCTCATATATTTATATCTTCCTTAACTAGGTAAACATAAAGCTTAATTCTTAGAAACAACTCAGTAAAGTATTTCATAAAGTCTACGACATCCAAAGTCAACCCCTAATTGTCTTTAAACCATCATGTAAAATAAGATATTTCTCTCATTCGAAAGTCTGCATATCAACCCAACTTCATTAATGGATGTGGTAAAAGACGGTACCATATTTTCTCTATTCCTTTAGTTAATATTTGAATTTTTCGAAATTTAACCATTTTCTTTCAGTTCAGTTTGGGTACATAAAGTAGTTCAAGTAAATACATCTAACTTGTCCTTATTTTAGCTCTATTCTGTACCTACATTTATTAATTGACGGTAACTGCATTTTCATGCATGAAAGATGACCTATAACGTTCCAGAATAGAAAGCTGTATTTTCTGTCCGTGAATCGTGTAATGGCCCGGGCTTCCATGATCCTACGATTTAAAGTCACATGTGTGATGTACAGTCATGTGCAAACCTGACTTCGTTAATGACATTTTTATGTTTTGTAGTTTATAAAGCAAGGCTATTTATTTTATTAGACTTGGAGATTTTGCTAAAATTTTACTTAAGTGCTATTATTTGTAATTATTGTTTTGGGTTTACTATAGGAGCTTGCTGACGGTGGAATTTGCACATTGCAAAGCAGCCAGTACTCTTGGTGGTTGTGTTTTGTTTTTAAGAATCAGTGATTCTCGGGCATATTTACTTGGTGGCACCCATCTTCTCTCCAAGTAGCTATCCCTAATTTAGCAGCGAAAGATATGAGGAAAGGCAGCTAGTCAACACCACCCACTACCAAATATTGGGCTACTTATTTACCAATGAATAATGGAATTAACCATCACGTTATAATGTCCCCATAGCTGGAAGGACAAGCATGTTCAACGACTGGGATTCAAACCCGAGATCCGCTATGCCAAGCACTTATTCATCATTAGACCGACCATATTAATTTAAAATTGGCAATTATATTTAAATTTTGATAAGGAGTTATAGTTTTGTTTTGGAAGGAGATGCACATGTACTTATAGGTCCTGCATATGTCAAACTGTTTGAAAACAGTTATAACAAAATGAAAAAAAACAACAACAACAAAAAACAAGTTTACATCTTTTATCCTTCGCTTCACCCAATATCTTTAAACATTGGCTTTCAATACAACATATAACTTTTCATATTTCACTTTTAATCCCAGAAACTTAATAATATATAGTGAAAAGTGTAAGCATTTAGTACAGTATTAGTGATTTCCTGCTACAAGAAAATCAAAGAAACATTTTAGTAATAGTTTTCCAATAAACTAATTTTAAAATCTCTAGTGAGATAGTGAAGGATGATAAAATAAAATAATTTCATACATATTCTTTAATTATTAAATAAAAGTTAACCATCTGATTTTATCCGACGTTAAAATTTAAATAAAACTATCAATAATGTCTCAATTATTTTTAAATTAAATGTAACTGACGACTGAGAAAT